AGCCCCACGGCGCTGAGCATGCAGCAGGGCTCGTCTTGCAAATAAATTATGGATTTGAATTCCAAAAAGCTGGGCTCTCCAAACTCTCCTGGGTGCTTTGCAGGGAAAAAAAAAATGGCAGTGAAAGGCTGGAGGGAGCTGCAGGTGGAAGCTGCCCTTCAGGATGGGTTGGAGGAGCCTGAGATGGAAACAGAGGGACTGTGCACAGGAGAGATGGAAAATGAAATAACTGGCCAAAGGAAGGAGGGTTGCAATGCAAGACTGGGCTTGGCAGTATAAGAAAGGGAAGAGACAAAAGCAGTCTCCCAGTGAAGCGCTGGAATTTAACTTTCACAGCTGCAAAAGGAAAACAATCGCTTCCCACACAAAAATAACTGATGGGCTGCGTTGATGAGAAGATGTCTGAGGAATTTCAATTAAAAGCCAGTGACACTGACAAAGGCAACGAGATTGAAGCGTTCAAAGGTAAGTGAGCAGCGGGGAGGGAAGAACAATAAATGGCGAGGGAGGGAACAGTGCCTGCTCAGCACTGCGTGGGCTGCGCCCTTCGCAAGGCGTCGGAGAGAAAGCCCTGGCCCGCTGAGCTGTGGCAGGGTGCTGGGACCCACCCGGGCACCTTCCTGCCACCCTCCCGCACCCCTGCTCAGGCTCTGCTCTGCAGGGACACGCTCGCTGAAGCAGGGCTGGCCCCTCCACCTGACATCTCTGGCAGAGGGCTGCTCGGGTGCGACGCGACCCCGAGCTCTCCGGCTTTTCGAGTCAGGTCTGTGAGCGTGGGGTCCCCTCCCGCAGCTCCCGTCCGGGTGATGCCCACAGCCTTCAGGCCCTTTCTCTGCAACCCCTTTGGAGCGGGAGCTGGGTGTGCCCTTGGCGAAGGACCTGTCGCTGAACAGAGAGCGGGAAGAGCTGGCAGGTTTAATTGTGATTTGCAGAAAAGTCCCCTCAGCCTTGGCTGGTGGCCTTGCAATAGGCGACAGCAGAGGCAAACCAAGCCATGTTACCAGCAGCACGTGGAAGGAGCCTGCACCGTTTTCCCTGCAGCCACCAGGCAAAGAAGAATGAATATCTTCCAAGACGGCGCAGCTGACACGGTCTCCGATGGGAATAGCTCGTCCTTGCAGCCTGTCTGCTGAAGAAACATCTCTGCTCCATCTGAGCTGGCAACAAGAGCTGAGACCAGGAGGACAGCGGGCTCGGCACGCTGCTGGGCTGCTGAGAAAGGCATCGCCAGAGCCCGGCCAGGACAAGGTGGGTGTCCCTGCCCGGGGGACGGAGGGGCGAGGGGCTGCGGAGGCGGCTGCGGCACGAGCCAGCGATGGAGCAACCTGAACCAGCGGGAGGAAGGAGCGATGGCCTCGCACCAAAATATCTCGCTTGGCTCCGAGCACGGTGTGCAGCTTCTGGCACACGGAGAACCCTGCAAATCCCCATGCCAAAGAAAACAGCTAGATTTAAAAAAAAAAAAAAAAAAAAAAATCCCGAAGCCCAGCGTTTGTGCAGAGCAGCTGGCTGGAGCCCCTTGCCCAACCCCGGGCAGGCTCTCCGTGTCCCCAGCCCTGTGTGGAGCTCTGTCCCCAGGTGGGGATGGCCGAGCCAAGGGCAGGTCCCGTCCCCATGGGCCTGGGGCTGCTGCTCAGCCCTTGGCACGGGCAGAAGGCGCTGGCACTAGCTGCCTCTGCTCACATTTACAGCCCCCGCCACGCTGCGATACAACAGACCTCTTGGGTTGGCAGCCCTGATGGGGACGAGCTGATTTTCTGCCTTTAAAAACAAATCTACTCATATGTAGATGTATCAGAGTAACAGATAGCCACTGTCACAGCCGGCCCCGCTCAGAGCCCTGCCAGATACTGCAGTCCTGCTTCCCCAAGGCACGCCGTATCTTCAGGCATCTGTTGTTCCATTAATCTATTTTTAGTAAATATATCCCCCTTAGTTCAGCTGCAGTTATCTGATTAGTTCCTGTAACTATATGAGGAGCAACATCTCCAGGCGTGACTGCGATTTCTGAGCAGACTGTGTCTCTGCACACACATTTTCTAAAAGAGAGAAACTTGCTGAAGATGCTTCTCCCTGCGGCGCTCGTGGACGTGGTGCTCTGAGCCTTGGTGCTGCATGAGGCTGAGTTTTGGGGGGCTGGGGGCAGCGGGGACCAGCGCTGCTGCAGCTGCCGGAGCATATGACCTTTGATAAAGGCAGAATTAATCAGGCACACTTCCCTGCTGCTGCCCGTGATAAGGGGCCATCCTCCTCCGGCGTTGCCCTGATGTGGCAGCGATAGGCAGCTGGCTTTGTTTGCTCCTGAACACAAGGCTGTTCATGGAGATTTCCATCATCATCATCATCGCCTGTGGCTGAGAGAGCAGGGAAAGTCCCCGTGCGTCAGCACTCGCAGCCTGCGGGGAGGTGTGGGGTGCTGGGGCTGCGCACCCTCTTCCTCCAGGCAGGGAGCACCGGGGAAAAGCTCCACCACAGCCTTGTTGCTGCACAGGGACTAGTTAAAAACCCTCCAGACCCACAGACGGCTCCAGCATCGCACTTTGCTCCGAGGCCTCGGCCTCTATTGACTGCAGCTGTCCCAGAAAATCAGATTATAGTGCAAAACCCTGGCATCAAGTCTGCTCTGACGAGTCAGGTCTTCCATCTCCCGGCTAGATCATCGGGATGAAGAGCACACAAAGGGGAGCGGGGGGATAAATCTCCACTGTGAGATTCTTTTTTTCCTCTGGCCTCAGCTATATCGGAGGGAAGCGGCAAATCCAGAACTCCGTGGTGTTCCCATGGGGCCAAGATAGTCATGGCTATGCCCAAGGCGGGGGGGTGGGAAAAGGGGGATCTCACCCAGGAGCTCCTGACCCACCTCATGTCCCTTGTCCATGGCCAAAGCCATCAGAGCTCTGCTGCCCGCTCCTCCTCCTCCCCCTGGGGTGCTTTAGGGCCATTGAACAGGGATTAACTGTAGATTTAAATGCTCCCAGGGCAGCAAAGGGCAAAGCTCATCCATGCCCACAGCAAAAGCAACCCCTCAGCCTCCCCATGGCTGGCACCCCAGCCCCAGTGCTGGCCCTGGGTTTGGGGGGGCTGCCTGAGCCCCCCGCCCCCCACGTTGGCTGTCACCTCCCTTCCCTCTTGTGCCAGCACTATTCTTTATATCTCCACTACGTGCCTGCCTGGCTCCTCACCACAGCAATTTATTTTCCGCTCCTGTTTCGATGTGCCTGTTCAAGCCTCCTCTTCCAGTCAGGGTGAGGTCGCACCACTGGAAATGTGTCACACAGCTGAAGACATTTATTTCAGTCGAGAGACCGGCCAGCGCCTCGCTGTGACGCTCCGTTTGCAGTCAGGAGGAAAGATGCCCAGTGTCGCTCGCTGAAACCAGTTGCTGACACAAACTGGGGACAAGGTGGGTTCCTGTCGTAGGAAAACTGGAGCCTGCCGCCCCGGCAGCCCACGCTCCGTCCACCCCACGGGCTCTGCCCCCTGGATTCGACCTCTCGCAGGGATGCTGCTGGGGGCACATGGTCTGCGTCTGCCTCGAGTAAATCCCCCCCCCCCCCGTGCCCCAACTGGAGCAAACCTGGGGGGGGGACATGACACCCCAACTTCTGGGGGAAGGAACCCCAAACCTGGCTGGGGAGCTGCACCCAAACCCCGCCGTGCACCCTCCGCGGGGGTGGGCAGAGCGTGGGGCACCCCACGCTGCTTCCCGGCGTGCAGATGCCCCCGTGGGTGCGTGTGAGCGCCCTCAGTGCTGCACCCTTCACATGTGCAAACACACCCCCCACCACCACCACCCTCCTTTCCCCACACTTCACCCTTCGCGTGTGCAACCCCCCCAACACGTTTCACCCTTTGCGTGTGCAACCCCCTCCCCGTCCTCACCCTTAGCGTGTGCAATCTCCCACGCTCCTCACTTCACCCTTCGCGTGTGAAACCGCCCCCCCTTCCCCACCCTTCGTGCGTGCAAACCCCCCCAACACGTTTCACCCTCCGCGTGTGCAACCCCTGTCCCCACGCTTCAACCCTTTGCGTGTGCAAAATCCCACTCCCCACTTCCCCCTTCGCGTGTGCAACACCCCCCTCGTCCCCACGCTTCAACCCTTCGCGTGTGCAAAATCCCACTCCTCACTTCACCCTTCGCGTGTGAAACCGCCCCCCCTTCCCCACCGTTCGCGTGTGCAATCCCCACGCTCCCCACTTCACCCTTGGTGCGTGCAAACCCCCCCAACACGTTTCACCCTCCGCGTGTGCAACCTCCCCACGCTTCAACCCTTTGCGTGTGCAAAATCCCACTCCCCACTTCCCCCTTCGCGTGTGCAACACCCCCCCCGTCCCCACGCTTCAACCCTTTGCGTGTGCAAAATCCCACTCCCCACTTCCCCCTTCGCGTGTGCAACACCCCCCCCGTCCCCACGCTTCAACCCTTCGCGTGTGCAAAATCCCACTCCCCACTTCCCCCTTCGCGTGTGCAACACCCCCCCCCGTCCCCACGCTTCAACCCTTCGCGTGTGCAAAATCCCACTCCCCACTTCCCCCTTCGCGTGTGCAACACCCCCCCCCGTCCCCACGCTTCAACCCTTTGCGTGTGCAAAATCCCACTCCCCACTTCCCCCTTCGCGTGTGCAACACCCCCCCCGTCCCCACGCTTCAACCCTTCGCGTGTGCAAAATCCCACTCCCCACTTCCCCCTTCGCGTGTGCAACACCCCCCCCCGTCCCCACGCTTCAACCCTTCGCGTGTGCAAAATCCCACTCCCCACTTCCCCCTTCGCGTGTGCAACACCCCCCCGTCCCCACGCTTCAACCCTTTGCGTGCGCAAAATCCCACTCCCCACTTCACCCTTCGCGTGTGCAACTCCCCCCCCCCCCCCCCCCCCCCCCTCCCAAAATTTCACCCGTCGCGCACGTGTCGCATCGCCACGCGCGTGCACCGGGCGTGCGCAGGTGCCCCCCCCCCCCCGCCTTCCCCTCCCCTCCCCGGTTACCGCGGGTGCGGTGCAGCGCGGTGCGGAGCGCGGGCCGGGGCGGAGCCGCGTTCCCCCCGCCCCCGCGGCGCTGCCATTGGCGGCGGGGCCGGGCCGGGCCGGGGGAGGCGGCGGTGGCCGGTACAGCCCGGGGTGTCCCCCGTACCCCCCCCCCCCCCCCCCGGCACGGCCCCGGTATGTCGCGGAAGAAGGCGGCTCGCAGCAAGGGCGGCGGCGCCGCTCCCTCCGCCGCGCTGCCCCCCGCCGCCCAGGGGCCCGGCCGCGCCGCCGCCCCCCCCCGGGGCTCCGCGCCCGCCCCCGAGCTGCCCCGTAACGGCGGCGCGGCGGGGGGGCGGCCCTCGCTCAGCAGCAGCGGCGAGTTCTACGATCTCGCTTTCAAGGTGCGGGGCTGGGCGGCGGGTACCGGGGGGGTCGGGGAGGTGTACGTGTGGGGGGGTGGTTGCGGGCGTCCGGTACCGGGGGGTCGGGGAGGTGTGTGGGGGGGTCGGTTGAGAGGGTCCAGTACCGGGGGGTCGGGTGTAGGTTCGTCACAGCCGCCGGAGAAGTTCCCAGGAGCGGGCGGGCATCCCTCCTTCCCCTGCTCCCCTCCTTCCTCCTTCCCCTGCTTCCCTCCTTCCTTCCCCTGCTTCCCTCCTTCCTTCCCCTGCTTCCCTCCTTCCTTCCCTGCTTCCTTCTGTCCTCTCTTTCCTTCCTCCTTTCCCTGCTTCTCTCTTTCCTTCCTCTTTTCCCTGCTTCCCTCCTTTCCCTGCTCCCCTCCTTCCTCCTTTCCCTTCTCCCCTCCTTTCCCTGCTTTCCTCCTTCCTCCTTTCCCTGCTTCCCTCCCTCCTTTCCCTGCTTCCCTCCCTGCTTCCTTCCTTTCTCCCTCCTTTTCCTCTTTTCCCTGCTTCCCTCCTTCCTTCCCTGCTTCCTTCCATCCCCTCTTTCCTTCCTCCTTTCCCTGCTTCTCTCTTTCCTTCCTCCTTTCCCTGCTTCTCTCTTTCCTTCCTCCTTTCCCTGCTTCCATCCATCCTTCCTTCCTCCTTTCCCTGCTTTCCTCCCTCCTTTTCCTCCTTTCCCTGCTTCCCTCCTTCCCTCCTTCCTTCCCTGCTTCCCTCCATCCTTCCTTCCTCCTTTCCCTGCTTTCCTCCCTCCTTTTCCTCCTTTCCCTGCTTCCCTCCTTCCCTCCTTCCTTCCCTGCTTCCCTCCATCCTTCCTTCCTCCTTTCCCTGCTTTCCTCCCTCCTTTTCCTCCTTTCCCTGCTTCCCTCCTTCCCTCCTTCCTTCCCTGCTTCCCTCCATCCTTCCTTCCTCCTTTCCCTCCCTCCCTGCCAGCCCCGCAGCCCGGCTCCCCGCCGCCAGCCCCGGGGTTCCCGCTGCGGTGGGGGCTGCGCCCGCAGAGCCCTCGGCAGCGGGGCCGCTTCCGCGGAACTTTTGCAAGTGGTGACAGAGGGGTTTACTGCTCCCGTGAGTTTTTGGAACCTTCTGGTTCCTCTTTAACGACGGAAAGAAACGCGGGTGGGAAGCGGGGTGACAGCGTTCCGTGAGTCGCCTCGAATCTGCTCTGGCTGCTGTTGAAATGTCTCCAGCTTGCGCTTTTACGGGCTCAGATGGCTCCTTCTCGCCGCTTCAGATGCTGGCGAGCGAGTCGCAGATCAAACATTTGCACACACCCCCCCTCTCCCACCTCCATCCTGCGACCTGATGTGAGCCCAGCTTGGGGCTCGCTTCCCGATTTTTGGCTGAGGCTGCAATTCTGTGCGACCCTTCTGACTGCATCCCTAACCCAGCTCTTCCTCACCGGGCGCGGGGGGGATGGAGCTTGGAGGAGATGGGGTTTGCTGTGGCAAACCCAACCTTGGCACGCCGTGTCGGGGAGCTCGGTGCCTGTGGCAAGCGGCGGGGCCCTTGCGTTGTTAAGATGTGGGCGTAGGGGGCAAAGGGTGTTGGAGAAGTGAATTTGGTCGCTTTGGTAGGTGGTTGGTGCTGATACAGCCGCAGTAACGGTTCAACAGCTTCCCTAAAAAGGAGACATCCCCGTGTTCCCACTTGTCGTCGGCTCCTTGAGTTTGCCCAGGCACAGGGATGAGCCGAACAAGGTCTCAGATGAGCCCCACGCAGCCAAAACCTCAGCCGAGGGGCTGGTTTTGAACCAGTGGCAAAGAGAAATTGCTTCGCGTTCAGTAAAAACCTGGTTTATTAAACTTTCTGTATCCCTTAGCCCACTCTTGAGGCTCCTGAGTTCTGCCAGAGGCAGTGGCCAAACGTGAGTCCCAGGCATGGGGGCCGGATCCTGAGTGCTGAGCCCTTGGTGCGGGCCTGGCCCGGGGTGCTGCTGTGGGCCCGGGGTGACGCTTCAGCGGCGCTGGGCTGGGAGAAGCTGCCTTTAAGGGTCACCCTGCTCTACAACAGAGGTCTGGAAAGCGTTTAAAAAAAAAAAAAAAAAAAAAAAAAAATCACTATTACTATTTTGCACCAAAAATGACTTTCTCAGTGTTGTGCCAGAGCTCGGCGCGCAGCTGTGCGCGGTGCTCCCACGGGAGCCCCGCCGTGGGGCTCTGCACCGTGGGTGATGGAACACGGCGGCCGGATCCCGGCTGCCCACCCCCCTCCCTGGCGGTGCCCCCCCCCCCCCCAAATTAAGTTACAGCCGGGACCGCGGCCGCCTCTCGGGAGGCTGCGCTGCAGGGTGGCGCTGGCGTCTGGGGCTTCCGAGGGTTCCTGCGTGGGTTTGGCGCGACCCGCAGACCGTTTAAATGCGGTGAGGGGCCAACGGCAGCGCGTTCGGGAGAAAGGGAACCCTGGAAGCCGCGCGAATCGGCGCGGGAGCTGTGAGTGCGGCTGGGCTGCGTGGTCCGGGGTGTCTCAGCGGCGGGAGGCTGTCGTCCCGCCGGGGGGAGTGGGGTCGGTGGCCCTGGGGGGACAGGAGGGGTGGGGAGGGCTTGTGGTTTGAGCGGAGGCTCTGTGGAGCTGTGTTTGGGAGCAGCTTCAGCTCTGCTGTGGTTTTGTTGTTTTTTTGTTTGTTTGTTTGTTTTTTGTTTTTTTTGTGGGAGGGTGGGTGCTTGGCCTGGCTGCACCCGAGGCTGATGCAGGGTGGGGAAACTGAGGCAGGCGGCACCGGGAGCGGCTCTTCCATCATCCGCTGAGCACCAGGAGGGTGGCCGGGAAGCTGCGCGCGTGTCCTGCCGAAGGGGGTTGCTCTCGGGGGGGGGGCAGAGTGCACCCCTGGAGCTGGTCCTCATTTTTGGGGGCCCCCCCTGAAGTCTCCCCGTGAACGTGCTGGGGTGCGGGGCGTTTGCTGGGTGTGCTGGGGACAGCGTGGGCCCCGCAGCCGTTGGGTCGCAGCCTGCCTCCCCCAGACAGCACCTCTTGGTTTTCAAGGGGCGTTTGTGGCCCCCACGGGGGATCTGTTAAGTACCGGTCAGGGGAAGGTGTCTCGAGTTTGGGCAGTGCTCAAGGACACGCGTGGTGCAGGGGGGGAATAATCCCCCATCCTCTCCCCCACCCTCCCCTGGGCTCGAGGATGTTGCTGTTGGAGGGGATGTGTCCCCTCGAGAATATGGGACCTGCTGCCCGCTCTGGGATGGGGCTTTTGGGGTGGAGGGGGGTGACGGCTGCGGTGGGGCTTCCTTCCCGAAACCCCGGGGTCTGACGCTCCCCCTCCCTCCCTCGCAGGTGATGCTGGTGGGCGACTCGGGGGTCGGCAAAACCTGCTTGCTGGTGCGGTTCAAAGACGGCGCTTTCCTCGCCGGCAGCTTCATTTCCACGGTTGGAATCGACTTCAGGGTAAGTGCCTGGGGGGCTCTGCGGCCCCTGCCCCGGCTCGTCTGGCAGGTGAGTGACGGCTTTTCCAGAGGAATAATAAAACTTTGCCTGGAGGACCTAAACCTCGTCATCCCGCCCCGTGGCACCTCGGGGCTGGGCGACCGCCTGAGTGCGGCAGCATCTTCGTGACCCACGAGGGGGGGGAGCGTGTCCTGTGAGAACCGCTGCTGAGGACGGAGGGTCTGCCCAGTGAGAATATTTCCGCAAGTCGGTTTCAGTGGTTTTTTTTAAACAAAACAACAACAAAAAAAACCAAACAAACAAAAAACAAAACAAACAAACAAACAAAAAAACCAAACCAAAACAAAAACAAAAAAACCCCAAAAACAACAACAAAAAAAAACCCAAACAAACCAAAACTAACCCGAGCCGGAATTCCCTGGAAACATCTCCTGAGCACAGCTTCGGGGTGCAGTGCCGGGGTGGCCACACGCCCTCTGGGGCACAGAGGGGAGGCATCGTGCCAAAGGATCTCTGAGCTCTCAGAAAATAACAGTTTTGTTGTCAGCGACCGGTGCCGGGGGACCCCTGAGGGCAGCGTCGGGGGCTCGATAGAGGGGATAATGGGGGGCAGAAGGGGGGACAGCTCATGTCCTGCAATGCCCTGGTGTGGGCAGAGCGTCCTTTGCCAGGTGGGAATGTCTTAAAGCTGGCCGGGGCCCTGGAAACCTTTTCTTGGCTGCATTTCCCCGGTGGGACCTTGCTGGGGAGCTGGGGGGGGGCTGCCTGGGGACACCGTGGTCCCCGGGTGAGGGGGGGGGGGGGGGCTGCGGTGCTGCCACAGGGTGGGACAGCCGAGCGACGGGGACGGTGACTTCACAGAGATGGCATCAAAAAAACCGGACGGCAGCTGTGAAGGGCGAGCGAGGGAGCTTTTGCTACCAAAGCCTTGGGTCGCCGGCCCGAGCATCGGATGCTCCCTGCCCCTCACCGCTTCCCCAACCATCTGCTTCGCCCCCAAACCCCGAGCTCGCCGCCCCCCGGGCTGTCTGGCCGGTGCCACAGGCTCCCCGGGGAGGCTCAGCCCCCCCGGCCCGGGGCCGTGCGCGGTGGCCGTGCCCTCCCTGCCCCGTGGTCGGTGGGGACGCCGTTGCCTCTTCCCAGCTGCTTTTCCTCAGCAGGATCTCGGGTACCTCCCTTTCTCAGATAGTTTCTGGGAGATGGGTGTCTCTGTAACCTGCTATTTTGTCAGGGTGGGAATGATAACTTGCTGGTACAGTGACAGGTGGGAGAGGTGAGGGACGGCTCAGAAAGCCTTTAGAAAGAAAGTGATGTTCTTTCCCACAAATGGGTTTTCGGTGCAGGGTGATGCTGTGGGCTACAGCAGCGGCTCTGTGAAGTTGGTAAATCAGAGTCCATAATTTTATACAAAGGTAATTACATGGTATTTCAGGTGTTCTTAAAATGAAAAGCGTTTTATTACTGATTGCAATGATTGATACCAAGGGCAGTCATAAAATCCGGTGACTTATTGATTAAAGCACTGAAACGACTGCTACTGAGCAGCAATCAAATTAGGGATAATTTACTTCTATAATAGAGCTGCTAGAGCTACATTGTTTTGAAACGCGCAGATTATACAGCGGGGAAGATCATGCGTGTGCCCTAAAGCTCGTTATTATAATCTATGTAAGGCACTCACAATTTGGGGGGGGGGGGGCATGCAAACAGTTTTCTGACTGTCCATCTCCGTTCCCATTAAGATAATCCTGTTTGCAGGCACGGTGTCATTGTGCCCTCTCGCCGCTTGCATCACGATGCAGGTGACGCTCAGGGGTGGCGACGCCGAAGGCTTCGGCTGCGAGAGCGCCTTTTGGTTTTGATTTCTGCCTGTCCAGTAGCAGAACCGGGACATCGCCGCTCCTTTCCTCTGTAACCCCGGGATTCGGCACTGGGTTTTCTGGCGAGGTCGTGGCTGGGGGAGGCGGTCGCTGGGTTTTTGCTGCGTTCGCCCCGGACCGGCGCAGGAGGCAGGGTGTTATTTCGGTGCCATCGGGGGTTTGTTTTTTTTTTTTTTGGTTTTTTTTTTTTTTTTTTTTTTGGTTTGTTTTTTTTTTTTTTTTTTTGGCGGAGGCCGCGGGGACGTCCCCAAGGCCAGGGCGGGCGGCAGCTGCGCTCCTGTGCACGCCCGGCCTTGCTGGGCGCAGGGACAGAGCTGCCCAGCTCCCAGCAGCGTTTTCGGGACTGTCTCCGCTCCTCTCGATGCTGGCTGCTTTGCAAAGCACCCCGGGGGGGAGGGGGGGGGGACACGGGACATGGGGGGGGGAGACGGGACACGGGGCTGCCCCCACGCCCACCCAGCCTCTCTCCACCTTGTCTCCCAGTCCGCCCACTGATCCCAGCAGGCTCCGGGATCAGCCGCTTGTTTTCAGGGATGTCAAGCCATTAGAGAGCCGCCAAGCTATGGCTAAGGGATTATATAGGCCTGAGCAAATGTAAATGAAGAGAAATCCATTTAAAATTAATCTGGCATTACAATTCCTAATGGCCCCCTAGGTTTTTTCCCTCCTACTGTTTTACGTTAGGGAGAACCTCTTGCACTGTGTTTGCTTATCATCGTCGCTTAAACAAAGAATGATGTTGATCTAAATATATTGGGAAAATAAACCACTGATACCAGGGAAATAAAGATGATCACAGTATTAAAAAAATGCATCAAAATGGCACCTACTGGCTTCTGGCTTTGGAGAGGCCGAGTCCTTGGATTTTCCTTCCTTTGAAAATTGGTTTTACTGGGGGAGCCTCTTTAGGTGCTCAGGAGCCTACCAGCCCCCCCAGCCAGCCGGGGTGCTGAGCAGGGGGTTTGGCGATGCCCCCTCCCCTGCTGCAGGTGCCACGGAGGCAAAGCAGAGCCCTGGGGCGAGGGGTCCCGCTCCTGGCAGGGGCTTCGTCTGAGCAGGGGCCTCGCTTGGAGCCAGGGAAACTTCTGTCTGAGTTGCTGTGCTGCTTTCCCGGGGGGGCAAACCCTTCTCTGGGGGGGGGGGGGGGGCGTTCTTGGCAGACCTCTCTGCTTGGGGACAGCGAAGGGGCTGTGTCTCTCCCGGCAGATCCCCGGTGAGGGCAGGAACAGGGCTGGGACAGGCTGTGCGTGCTTTTTTAACCTCATCCATCAGGATTTGAGGGACAAGAGTCTCCTGGAAAAGAGCAGGTTTATCGCTCAGGGCTGTGAATCCCATTTTTCTGGCGGCTACCGAAGGAGCTGCCTTTTGCTGTAATTTTGGGGACAGCGTAGAAACCTTGACAGAAATTAAAGCTCCACAGCCAAGGGTACTTCTGTCTCGTCGTAAGAGCTAACTAACGGGAGGAAGGGCTTGCCAAAGCTGAGCAGCCAAAGGGCCATGTGAGCCCACCATGTGCCCCCTCCCCAGTTTTGGCTGGGCTCCCTGGGGCCGCCCCAAGGCTGGGTGCCCCACGGGTGCTCGCAGCCCCACGCTCTGCCCCGAGCTTTGCTGGGCTAGGCGAGTTAAGATTTTTGTACTAATTGGACCTGGCAGGAGAACATAAAAGAAAAAAATAAAATGAAAGATGAGCTTTTTCTCCCTGGGAAGAGGTTCTAATGAGTTTTTCTTTGCATTAGCAGGGGAGATGGTTTCTGTGTTAATCAGTGGGATGAAACCGTTAGGAAGGGATTTGCTGGTGGAGTTCAGAGCAGGGTGGTTGGTCTTCATTTTTTCCGAGGTGTGTAGGGGTATCGCTTCTCTCTTGCTGCCCTGAAGAGAGGGAGCAAACCAACATGATCCGGGCACAAAGCACGCTCAGGTGCAGTGGGAGGAGGAGGAGGGAGCCAGCCCCGGTGCTTCGGCGCAGGTTTGGGCTTCCCGAGCCGGCAGCTGGGCGCAGGGAATATTTCCTGGGAAGGCTGAGCTTTGGCGACCACCCGTTTGCACCAGCGTGCCCAGGAGGGGTTTCTGCTGGTTGTTACCCTGCAGAGACCCGCAGCCTCCCCGGGCAGGGGTGAGCGGCAGCGGCCGCGCTCTCTGCTCCAGCCTTGGCCATGCCACAGTTAATCTTCCCACTGGGACGGCTGCTGTGTGCTCTAAAAAGCTGTCACTTGTGACCCTGAGCCTTAAGGACTCTTGATTACATTCAGCCCTGTGCTGCTCTGGGGGTGGAATCAGCGATATATAATGCAGTTTTTTGCATAAGAGATTTGTTGCATCTCTGTTTATTTTTTTTGTGGTGTGTGTGTGCGTGTGTGTGTGTGTGTGTGTGCACCTTCCTTGGGCAAAACAGCAGCTGCTGGCTCCCTCCACAAGCTGAACTTTGCAGGAGGGCTGGGAAAGCTTCGCTCCAGCCGTGCAGGGTGTGCAAACTAACGCTGGCCGGGGGCTGGATTTGGCAAGTCTGGTCCTGGGTCTCCGTGCGCTCAGGGGAGGGAGGTGCGGGTGCCCTGAGCATCTGCCCGCATCCCTGCCCTTGGGGCGATGCTCCGGCGTTGATCCCGGTGCTTCTCTTTGAAAGGCTGGGGCTGGAGCCCTCTGAAAGCCAAGGGCTGGCTTTCGTCTCAGCGGTTGGCACGGAGGATTAGCAGGGCTAATGTTCTGATGGACCAATCTGGGGGAGAAGTGGGAGGGGATCTGCTGAGGCCAGAACAAAGAAACGGAAATAAATTAATTCCAGCGTGTCTTTCTAGACAAAATTAGTCCCGAACATTCGAGGGAAGGGACTGCGGGTGTGGAGCAGAGCGTTTAATCTCTGTCGGCACGTGTGAGGGGTCGGGCCGGGCCGGGGGGCTGCTGCAGGCTGGGTTTAGGGGGGTCCCCGGGGGCTGTGAGCTGGAGCAGCGGAGGGGCCAGCCCTGGCTCCGCACCCCTGCGAGGGAGGTGGACCCCCCGCCCTGGGGAGAGGCATGGGGGGGCTGCCGGGGCGGGGGGGACGCCTGTGTGCCCGCCTTGGCTCTGCCTTCCCCGCGGCTCTTGGTCTGAAATCGGCTCGTTCCGCGCCTCCGAGCGCCGGATGGA